TCTCCACCCCCCCCCCCCCCCCCCCAAACACTGTCACTTTGCCCACGATAGGCAAGGTGCCAGTAAGTATTTCTTTAAGATTTAAGCCTTAAGATTTAGGCCATATGTCAGGAACTAGAGCACATTTACATAGTGAATTGCATAAACAGTGGAAAGCAAACATTTTTCATAGCAGGAAGAGATCCAAGGGCTCTTTGCATAGAAACATAAAATACATTGAAAGGAATTTATCAGAACTGGAGCAGACAAAATCTGGAGCAGCTGTGCATGGCAACCAATCAGCTTATATCTTTCAAACAAACTGAAGAGAGAAGCTGATTGGTTGCCATGCACAGCTGCTCCAGTTTTGATCAATTCCCCCCATTTTATAGACATGACAGAGCTACAGCTGTTACACATTTGAGCAATAAAAGAATACTACGGAAAAAAAAAAACAGTTATGCAAGTACTGAACTTTTTTTTATTATAATTCTTTATTTATAATCTTGAAAAAGCAAGACATACAACAGAGATATAAATTAAAAGGAACAGTATACAAAATCAGGATGGCACATCCGACACCAGTTAGTTGAAACAGCCTGCCCGGCACAGTAGGTAATCATCACTATACAATCTATCTAGAGGCAGAGCCAGCTGTACCCGCCCCTCCCCCGTCCGTTCCGCCAGTCAGCGCTGGAGGAGCGGGGAGGGGGGAATCCAGGATCGAGAAGTGAGCGAACGCCCGTATGTGTTCGCTCACTTCCCGATCTACTGAGCCGACCTGTGACAGTTTCATTGTCACAGGTAGGCTAGAACTATGAGGTGAGTGAAAAGCACTCACCGCATAGTTCTCCTTTAAGGGAAATGCCAAGTTTAGAGAAGCAAAGAGGGCAGCAGGGAGATGCCAGGAGAGCAGTGACAGATAGTAAAAGCAATTGTGGGAGAGAAGGCATTGGGAAAGTGTGGTGGAGGGCAGAAGAGCATAAAGAGATGTTACAGAGAGAACAGCTAGAGGCAACCTGAGGACTGGAGAGTGGGTGATGTGGCCTGGAGGAAAGGTTTGGCTACGGGCTGAAGAAGAGAGAGGAATGCTTTGGAGAGATGGCTTGGTGCAAAAGGAATGTCCTACTGGTGCTCTTACATCCATTTTATGGCCCTCTGCAGTCCATTTCCTCTTTCAAGTCAAATTTGAGAAACCATAGCTATATGTTTGTTTTGTGTTGCTGTTCACATAGCATACCTAAAATCATTTTAATTAAAGTTCTTACATTTTGGGCAGACTGCAATTTATTCTGAGCAATTTAAAAGTGACTGTGGAGGAGGACAAAGTGAAGATAGACATTGTTTCCACTCATTAACATACAATGCAGAACACAAGCCTTGAGCTCTTTACACCTATGTTAGGGCAGACAGTGTTCAAATCTAGTTTACAACTGATAATGAGATCTGCAAGCACAGTACAGACAGGTTTAATTATGGTAAACACAAACTTCCGAGTCCCCTACATTGCAGTACACGGAGAAGAAAACTTCAGTTTCAGGGTTTAAAAAAAAGAGCAAGTAAAAGGTAAGCAGCAATTTTTATATATTTTTTTAAGCTATGCTATGTGAATGGGAACATATAACAAATATAAAATAGGTGTTGCACAATTTAGCTGCAAAAGTGATCTCCTCCCACTCAGCATGCTGACAGAAGTGTTTCCGGGCTCTCAACAGCACACTGAGGTCCAGGGCTCACTGAGGTCCCAGGCTCCAAGGAAAGAAAGGTGAGCCCAGCGAACATACATTTTTTGAGAGGTTAGCAAGGCACACCTGACTATAAAATGAAAAAAAGGTGGGATATTATGTGGGGTCACATGTTTTACATAATAAAAGAGATCTAGATATAAAGGTGGAAAACCTGTCTGTACAGTAATTCCAACAATTACAGAGGCTACCGTTGGTGTCCGCACATTCTAATACTGCTAGTTGCCTGGCTGTTGTGCTGATTCACGGGCTTGTGACTCTTCTCCTACTTTCCTGATCTGCATGCATTCCATTCTAGGTAAGTGACTCAGAAGGTAGCAAAGCCACAGACAGCCGCCAAGGCAATGGCAGCCTACAGTATATATTTCTCTCAGTACAGGCTTCCTTTAATTTAATAAAAAAAATAACCCCTTTTAAAAAAGGTAAGATTTATAGGAATGACACATTTTTAAGAGAAAACTTTTAAAATATAACAGGTAAAAAAGTTATGTTTACTAGTGCATTAATATTGTTGCTTTCTTTATATTTTATACTTAAGGCCTCTGTTGATGGAAGCTGAAAACTTCACAATCTTTGTCAAGAACAGTGTACGATTTCCCCTTTTTGAATTTGAAAAGTAAGTATTAACAGTCATTAATGGCTCATACAGCAGATTTCCAAAAGAATGCAGTAAAAGCATATTCTGTGTACAAGTGGTTGCAGGAAAAAATATCATGGGTGTGGATTGTTGTGTATGTGGCTTGAGTGCATAGACTGGAAACCCTAGTAAGGGCCCCAACACTTAACCTTGGAGTACACCACTAACATCCTAGACCAGTGGTGGCGGACCTATGGCACGCGTGCCAGGGAGGGCACGCGAGGCCCTTTCTGCTGGCACGCGAGCCAAGGTTCAGGCACCACAATATTAAGGCAGCCGAGCTGTCTAATGACGGCAGGCGGGCGAGCAAGAGGAGAAGGGGGACGGAGCGGCAGGGAGTGGAGATAGAGGGAGATGGGGGCGGAGATGAGAGGACGGGAGGAGACGGAGGACTGAGCTGCATGAGACAGGGGCTGGAGACAGAGTGAGATCGAGGCTGAGATGAAGAGACGGGGGACGGAGCGGCATGAGACAGGGGGCGGAGACAGGGGGAGATGAGGCAAGACTGAGGCAAAGGCAGAGACCGCGATGGAGGAGGCGTCGCCAAGGGGCCAGTCAAGCGGCGAAGCTGAGACGATTGGGCGCTGAGGCAGCAGTGAAGGCTGGGCTTCACATGTAAGGTACGAGCACTGTGCTGGCAGGGCCCACAGCCCACCAAAGAGTCACAGGGGGGCTGCGCAATATCTTTTGGTGGGCTTTGCAGGATCCATGGGTGCTCTGCAGCCTGCAAAGTCCACCACAGATCCTGCAAAGATATAAACAGGTAGGTTAGACGGCTGCTTCCTCCTCGCTAGGACCCCGGGAGGCCCCTGCAAGCGGCCGTCTAATCTGCCTGTTTAGAGGTCACCGCCGCTGCCTGATTGTGACCGGCCCGACTAGAGAGGGGATCCGGGACGTTCGGGTCCCCTGTGAGAGCCGTACAAGGCCGTAAGGCAGTGATGTTGAACGTTTCTTAAACCCGAGCACCCAAACTGCAATACTAAACTTAGTTTCAGCGCTGGCACTTTTGAGATAAATAAATTGATTTTGTTTCGCAGTTTGGGCACTCGGGTTCAAAAAGGTTCGCCATCACTGTCCTAGACCATTCAGAGCATGAATCATTAATCACTACTCTCTAAATAATGTCTTCCAATTTTCTAACCATTTACAGACTATAGACCTTAACTTACACATTACCCATATGTGGGGAACTGGGTATCCACAGTCACTTCTGTGACTAAGTTTCATTCAGCAAGTGACCAGTTGTTACAATTTATAGGGGAAACACAGACTGTTCCTATTTCAGATATTTTGATATTTTTATCTTTTTTTGAATACAACTAGGCTTAACAGCTTGTAAAATTGGCAATGTTCTCCTTGCTGTGGAATAGAGAAGCTGTTTTTGCTGAACACACAAAGAAAATAAAGTGCACATTATTTCTACTGCAGCACTTATGACAGTGGATGGCAAAATAGAAAAAAACACATTTATATACTTTTAGTCTAGTTCCTACTAATAAATGCTACCTGACCAACTGAATTGTAAGATAGGTAGTATTTAAATATATATTTAAAGCATGAGGATGCAGGAATGGAACAGGAGTATGTGGGCCTCCAAACAGTGACATTTTTAGTCTCGTTGTCCCCAGCAAACAGAGAACAGGGAGATCTCTTGCTGCAAACTCTGCAAGGAGACCAGCAATGGAGGTTGCCTGAGTCTCATGACATGAGTTGACTAAGGGTGGCCATACACCTATTGTCAGTTTGCTTTAACTGACAACATATGCAGAACAAAGCTCATCCCATTGATCTTCAGAAGAATTAAACTGAGTAAATAACAAAGTAACAATGTTAGCTCAGTTCAGTTCCCCAGAAACCTGCTAGGCAAAGGAGACACCCGTAAACAAGAGGGTAGAGGAAACAGTACATGACCTGAAAAATATAACTTAAATGGTGCAGTATGAAAAAAAGCTTATTAAGCACAAGTGGATCTCCTCGGGGGAATAAAAAAAACAAAAAAACAAAAAAAAAACAGCACAAGGGTTTAATATCAATTTATTCTATAAATCTTCAAATTCCTATAGTGACAAAAATATAAAGTAGGAAGCAATTAAAGAAGTGAGTCACAAGAAAGAAAAAGTAAACACTGCAATTATACCTTAAAAGATGTGTGTATTAGTGAAGGGTGAATTTGCCCATGTTTGATTTACTCATCTTGTGTCAAATTCGACAAACCCAAATATAGAGGTACATTCTACTGAAGTCTATGGGGAGCAAAACTTGTTAAATTCTAGCCATTTTTATAGCAAATTGGAAAATGATTGTAAAAAAAAGACATGGAAAGCTTGGCACTGCCATGGGAGACATTTTTGTAAACAGTACAGTTGGAAGTGTCCTTTCATGCAGCTTTGAAAGCAACATTGAAAATACACAAATCCAAATAACATGCTTGGAGAATAACTTAAAGCTGTACATGTACAATATAATCTGAAATTGACCTATGTCTCTGATAAGGTATCTATACCTTTTCTAGATATTAGGATTTTTAAAAATGAAGCAGGCAATTTATATACTAGCCGGTACAGGAAAAGCAAGACTGGGAATAATATTCCGGAGGCATCTAGTTGCCACCCATAAACATATTACTCATAATATACCATACGGGCAATATTTACGGGTTACAAGGAATTGCACAAAAGATTCAGACTTTGAGAAAGAGGAAACGGACCTTATAGACAGACTTAGAGCCCATTCACACCAGGGTGGCTGCGGATCAGTGCTGTTTCCACGCTGATTTCAAAAGGGAGGTTTTCCTCCCAGCACAGTTCCATTAAAAGCTGTATGGAAACCACACTGATCAGCGCCGGCAAAAAAGGATCAGGGAGCAGTTCGTGCAGATTCGGATCGCGCTGAACCACGCGGTCACATGAACGTTCCCCATAGCAATGTGTGAGATTGTTCATGTCAGCTGATCCGCACGGCCAAATTAGCGCGTCCGAACCGCCCCGGTGTGAACGGGGCCTTAGATCGAGGGGCTATAAGGATAAACACTTGACATATGCATAAAAAAGACCTAAAAGGAACAAATCTAAGAAATAACAATTAAATTTTTTATTCTAATATTTTATTTATTTTACACATAACTCATTATAATACAAACCAACAAGAAAAAAAATAAAAATAAATAAAAATAAAATAAACACACTTAAAATTCAAAACAATAACTAACATAAACACAATAACAAATAACTAACATTACACAGGTCTTATTAACACAATATAACATTTGGCCCTCTTTTAACCCCTTAAGGAAAAAAGCCTTTTTTTCGTTTACATTATATATTCCACATTTTAGGCCTGAAAATTACTTAAAACCCCCAAACATTATATATTTTCTGAAAAGCCAAGACCCTATAAAATAAAATGTTGGCAGTTGCAAATTTTTATGTTGCACGACATTAGCGCAACATATTATCAAACCCAAAAATTTTGTGAAAAATGCACTTAAGTTAAATTTAATGCCCCAAAACACTATTTAAAACAATTTTTTTTGTAAAATAAAAAAAATGAGGTTACAACGAGTTAATAGATACCCAACATGCCCACGTAAAAAATTGTGTGCATCCGTGAAACTGCGACAGAATTCAGTACCCTAAAAAGTCCAGACACAACGCTTTAAAATGCCTCAGTATAAATATTGGACCTAGAATTATTGCTCTCACTCCGGCATGTGTGGCGATACCCAACATGTACTGGATCATAGAAGCGATTGCCGGCTCGACAAAACGGTGGTATTTAATCACCACTGTGGTTTTATTTTTTTTTATATATTAAAGGAAAAATTACCGAAATGTAAAAAAAAAAACAGTTTCCCCTAAAATGATTGCTCTCACTCCGACGTTCACGGCGATATGTAACGTGTAGCGCAATTGTAATTTTCGCACGCTGGCACATCGAACGCGTATTTACGTTAATATGTATGTAAACGTGGGGGTGGGGGACTTAAAAACATTTTTTATTTTTGTAACTTAATTAATTTTTTTTTAACATTTATTGTTATTGCTATCACATAGGGGGGTTGCAGATACTGTACGGTTGCTTAGGTGGATAAGTCTAGCAGCAGCATTCATGATAGACTGAAGGGGGGATAGCCTGTGTAGAAGTAGGCCAATGAGGAGGGAGTTACAATAGTCAAGACATGAGATAACAAGTGAGTGGATGAGCAGCTTTGTGGTTTTATTGGTGAGGAAGGGGAGTATTTTGGAGATGTTACGAAGGTGAAGACGGCAGGATTTGGATAGTGATTGGATGTGGGGCAGAAAGGTGAGGTCAGAGTCAAGGATGACACCTAGCACCTTGGCATGGGGGGAGGGTTGGATGGTTGTGTTATCAATCCTGATCAAAAAGGTGGTAGAGGGTGCACGGTTGAATACCGTGAGCTCAGTTTTTGAAACATTGAGCTTTAGGAAGTGTTGTGAAATTCAGACTGATATGACAGTTAGTAGATTAGTGATAAGCAGGGAGACGGAAGGGGTGAGTTGTGGAGAGATATATTTGAATGTCATCAGCATAGAGATGGTATAGGAACAGGGGCGTAACTAGAAATCACAGGGCCCCATAGCAAAATTTTGTATGGGGCGCCGTGATTGCTAGTTATGCCACTTGCAAAGCCCACCATGGACTCTCTATGGTGGGCTCTGCAAGGTCTCAGTTGCGCTGTCCGCTTCTTACCTGTCACCTCCGTGGCCCTTGCCTCCTCTTCCGTTCCCGGGCTCCGCCTCCTTCTATCGACGGCCCCCGCCTCCTCTTACATCACTGGCCCCACCTGCTCTTAGATCGCTGGCCAGTGATGTGAGAGGAGGCAGGGTTGCTGTTAGGCGGACCCCGCCTCCTTCTTTACTGCAAATGCCGGTGATCGATCGAAAGTTCGAACTTATAGAGTTCTGGGACCGGAAGTCATGCGGTCCCACAACTCAATACGTTTGGACTATCGATAGAACACCGGTATAACCGGCCTATTCTGCCGCATCTGCTGGCTGTCACTGACACAGCTCCGCAGCGGCTGTGAGTGGGAACGTTTTCTTTCACAGCAGCTGCTGAGCTATGTCAGTGACAGCCAGCACCCGAGACGCCATAGTGACCCAGGCGGCCCACACGGCATCAGAGGGATGCCTGGCCGGGCCCCCCTGTGCACGGGCCCCATAGCGGCCGCCTGGGTCGCTATGGCGATTGTTACGCCACTG